AATGGCGGGCCGGGCCAAAACGGGCCGGGCTGGCCCGTTTTGCCATCCCTATTATTTTTCACCTACTTACTTAATATTAGAAAGAAAATAATGTCAAATTAGATGAGAGGAAATTTTGATCTAATTAATTTCAAAAACTTATTATTTATGTCTAAAAAAATTTGTAATTAAATACAAATATTTTAAGAAAAATAATCAATGCAACTCACAATTAGAAGTGAATTTTATATACAAGTACAATTTTTTTTAAAAGAGTTTTATATATAAGGACAATGATACTATTTCAAAAAGGCCAAATTAACCTAAATTTAAAAAATAAAAGATCACAATAAAATCTTTTAAAATAAATAAAATAAGATAAAATGACTAAAAGTTTAACAAGAATACTCACATGATTTAACAAATCAAATAACCACTTTTTCAACAAAAAAAAAAAGATGTTAGAGTGTAAAATTTGCAAACATCTCAAACATGAAACAAAACTTTTATTAATAATAATTTTTTTACACAAAATACATTATCTAATCATGTTTTTGTAGAACTACCTTTTTTTAGAATGAGAAAACCATGACTTAAAGATAAAAGAGAAAATATTAAAAATAAAAAATAATGATAAATCACAAGATAATTTCTAATATATTATCTTATTTTTAACATTTTTTAATATATTTTTCTACTTACAATATTCTCTCAATTTGGTGAACAAATATCTATCATTTCTAACTTGTCATTAAATTCTTGAAATTTAGTAATGGCAAGTCCTTTTATGAGAACATCTGCTAATTGAAGTCTAATAGATACATGAGATGTAATTAGTAATTATAATATTGCTATCCAACTTCTTTTTTTGATAAATTTTTTGTTTATCTCTATGTACTTTGCTTTATCATGCTAAACTAGATTATAGACAATATTGTTAGTTAACTTATTATCACAAAAAATAATCTTATAAGACCTTCATATTTAACTTTGAGACCATCAAGGATAATATTTATCCACAACACCTCATAAATACTATGAGCCATATCTCGAAACTCAACTTCTTTACCAGATCGTACAACTTTATCTTATTTTTCACTTCTCCATATCATTGAATTCTTGCTAAGAAATACATAATATTTAGAAGTGTATCTTTTTTTTTAACTCTACATGGTCAACATTGCTTCTAAGGATAACAAACTATTTTTTTTTAATAATCATTTTTGTGAGGTTGCTTCCAAATATTGGAGGAGTCTCCTAACTCTTTGAATATGTCTCTCACAAGTGTCATTCATAAGCTGATCGATCATATTCACAACATAGTTAATGTTAAGCCTAATGTGAAAAAAGTATATCAATTTTCGACCAATCTTTGATATTGGTACTTCTCTACATGTGAACTTTTTTCATCTCAAGCCTCATGGGAATTTTTAAGGTCTTACATACTAACTTTTTAGTTTCTTTGAGAAGATTGAGAACATACTTCCTTTTAGAAATAAAGGTACCTTTTTTGGAATATATAACCTCTATTTCAAGGGAATACTCTAATTTACCCAAAATTTTCATTTCAAGTTGAAATGCTAATTTATCCTTGAGGACCAATTTCTCTGATTCATCATAATTTGCAATTATCACGTCATTTACAAAGAATAACAAAATAGTAAGTTTTCCATAAGAGAAATGCTTTACAAAGAGAGCATGAGCACCTTTGCTTTATTTGTACCCTAGGGATATCATAGTCCCGAGTAAACTCCCCAAACCATGCTAGGGGAGATTGTTTGAGACCATATTGGGCTTTCTTTGGTGCACCTTAGTCTTTTCACTATAAGTTTCAAATCTAGGAGAGATATCCATATAGACTTTCTTTTAAATCTCCATGAACAAAGGAATTTTTGACATTCAACTTTAGCAAGTCTCATCCTAATAACACAATCAAAGATAAAATAATCCTTAGTGTATTCATTTTTGCCATTGGAGCAAAAATCTCCTTTTAGTCTACATTGTAGGTTTGAGTGTATCCCTTTACCACTAGTCTTTCCACTTCACTGTGCATACTGATCTACATCCAACAACTCTTATATCCTTTGATTTGTCAACAATCTCCATGTTGAGTTTCTTTCAAATGCCTTTATCTCCTCATTCATGACTTTAATTGAATCCTTATCTTTGTATGCTTCTTTAATTAGTATGGGTGTTTTAATTGCATCAATAACTACAATAATACTCTAGGACGTGTGGAGGTGTGTGAGGCGGAGATTTATCACGAAGATATTATTAATAATGAAGGAGCACTCCTTGTTTGATCACCAAAAGTAACAATGACAATGGTTAATAAGGGTCTGCTAGAGCAAAATAATCAAAATAATAAATAGTCTTGAATATAAAGAATTTTGATATCAACTTAAAAAATAACTTATTTTAATAATAATTTTGAAATAGATTATAATATTCAACCATGCTTTTATTATCTCTAAAATCATAAAATTATGACTTAAAAAAGACAAAAAAATAATTATAAATTACTAAAATATTATGTTAATAAACCCCTAAGATATTCTCTTATTTTCTGATAGTGTAAAAAAGATCTTCTACTATTCATCTCTAATTATAACATCATGCATGACAATATAATAATAACAATTATTTTTATATTATGTTAAACTTAAGCTCCATCACACACTACTACACTAGATCCCAAGTGATCCAACCACCACAAACAACATTCCCAACCATTCAGCATAACAGCCATCCTTTGGTCTGTCCAACCAAAACAAAACAATGGCCACCACTTCTTGTTCACTCATTTCCTCACTCTTCCCTTCTCCTTCTTCCCCTTCTCCATTCCCTCGCTCCCCAAACCCCAAACCCACCATAATTCACCTTTCAAAGTCCCTCAATCTCCACACACCCACCCTCTTCCTCCTACGCCCTTCAACACAAACACAAACACTAACACTAACACTAACACCCCTTCTCCCCAAACTCACTATTCCCAAATCTCTTCTTCTTCTATGCACTTCCCTCGCTCTCTCCTTCACTCTCTTCCTCTCCGACGCCGACTCCGCCGCCGCCTTCGTCGTGAACTCGCCGAGGAAGCTGCAGACCGATGAGCTCGCCACCGTCAGACTCTTCCAAGAAAACACGCCCTCCGTCGTCTACATAACCAACCTTGCTGTCAAGTAACCCACACACCCCTTTTCTCGATCCTCTTCAAAATTTTGTTTTTAGTGCCTTTTCTTTGACCCTTTTGCTTTTCATTTGTTTTTCTCAATGTGGGGTTTCGTGTTTAGGCAGGATGCGTTCACGCTGGACGTGTTGGAGGTTCCCCAGGGATCAGGGTCTGGCTTTGTTTGGGATAAGGAGGGTCATATTGTGACCAATTATCACGTTATCCGTGGTGCCTCTGATCTCAAGTTGGTATTCTTCTTTTTTGTTGAGTTTATTTTTTATCCTCAACCAATCAGAAATCTTATTATGCATACAATTTGTAATTGAATTTATGCTGCTATAGTAATTTAATTTTTACATGGGCAACTAACTTTGATATGAATTTTTAAACAATCGTATTATACATGATAATTCATAAATGGATGCACGATACGACAGAAAACCTTTATACTGCCCATGCGTTCTATTTAAATCCTTCTTTTTTAGTTTATTTTTTATGCTCCATTTGTATAGGATTTTAAATTGTCAACCAATTCAAAATTATCCTAAATATCATTTTGGTTTAAATACCCATTTGGGCCCTATAGTTTCATAACTTTACCTTTTGATTCCAATAATTAAAAACGTTTCATTTTAGTTTTTATGCATATCATTTTTGTTTCCTTCTAGTCCTTATCCTATATTACTAGAGGGACTAAAAGGAAACAAAAACAATGTGTAGGGATTAAAGTGAAATGTTTTTAAATATAAGGACTAAAAAGTAAAATATATGAAACTGTAGGGACCAAAAAGATATTTAAATCTACCATTTTTATAATAATTTTTACAAAATCCAGTAATTTACTATATATGCCTATTTGTGAGTGGATGATAGGGCAATTTTTTTTTTTTTTACTATCAGTGCATTTCTAATTAAATTGTTCTGTTTTTGTATCTTTTTATCCAGTTTTTTTAACTTGTACTCTTTTAGCCCGTTGGTTCTAGTTAGAGAAGTGCACATGTATGGTTTTGACTTTTGAGTCATATGATTCTAGCAAATTGGAACTTTTAAGTTACTAAGTTAGGCGGTCAAATGTGTTCATATCATGTATAATGCGACTTATCTATAGTTAAATGGATTATAATTTAGCTTGTATGAAAACAAAAGGGAGGTAATAATTATGTGTATTACTTTGCACGCTTGGACCTCCTTCAATGTGTATATTTGTGTTTGCATTGTAACTTTTGACGGCATTGAGAAGTGAATTAATTGAGTAGAAAGTTTGATGGTAGATACACTTATTGGGATGGATTGAGTGAAGCGATTGCTCCTATTCAAAGAGATGCTAGTTATGTGCAGGGTCACTCTTGCTGACCAGTCAACTTATGATGCCAAAGTTGTTGGTTTTGATCAAGACAAGGATGTAGCTGTGCTGCGTGTTGAGGCACCAAAGGACAAACTCAGGCCTATACCTATTGGGGTCTCTGCTGACTTGCTTGTTGGGCAGAAGGTTTATGCTATCGGGAACCCGGTGAGATGTTCCTTCCTCTTGATGCATATTGTGTTATAAATATGCTTTACGTAGGAATTTTCCATTCTAGAGAGATTATGGCAATCCTGGTTGAATTTACAACTAATTGCTTAATTGGAGCTTCAGTTGGAATTTTTATGATCAAGGGGATTTCAATTTTCCTACATCATATTTTAACAGTTGCCTCATTTAATCTAACATGTAGTTTGCATAATTATATGGCTATTTAATAAACATTGCCTGCTTCTGTTGTAATTCCATTGTGTATCTGTTAAATTTTATTTAAAAAGCGTGTTAGAGATCTGAGTTACAAATGCTTATGATGTAATGCCAGATTCTGTTTTGCAACTCTCTATTTAGAAACATGGGTGGGTTCATATTATTATTATTATTATTATTATTTTTTTATTTTTATTTTTTTTAATGAGGGACTCAACCACTTGAAGAGGGTGAATTCAAAAACCAGAAATACTTATTTAAAAAGGATAAAGAGCAACATATTAAATTGATAAATTGTCATGGCCAGTACCTTGTTATTGCTGCCTAACTGTTTAAGTAGAGCTTTTAATCATTCCTGGCTTGATTACTATTTGTTGTTGATGATTGACACATTGATGGTTTCATGAATCTTCCAATGTGATTCTTCATCCTTGCAGTTTGGACTTGACCACACTCTGACAACTGGTGTCATCAGGTATGAAAACTGAAAACCAGTGACGTGAATATTTTGATGTATCTGCCATTGCCCACTAAAAGAGTTTCTACTCTTCGATTGCTTTTCCTTTCTTCATGACAGATAATACATTTTTGCTCAAATATTTTTATTACGTGTCCAAAAATAGCAACTATTGTCTTGTTCTCAATGTCACACTTTCTGGCATAATTTTCAGGATGGCATGCACTGCATTGTAAATTTTGAATTAGAAGCATCTGGGAAGATGAATGAAAGATATTTTGATTCATAACTTTTGTCAAAGTCTACTAATATTTATGCAAAAGCTAATTATATTAATAATAAACGAGACTGCATCCACTGCACCAAAAATGTGAGTCCATCTGTTGTTAACCTACTATTATAATTATTTATAAGTAAAATAGATAAGGAAGTAGGTTTCATGAAAGAGACAAATCAAAGAGCAAAATTGGAAAAACTTCTAAACAAGCACTTGTTGTAAATGAAAATCGAGTGGTAAAATAAATCAAACGTTTTTCTTCAGTTAAAATCAAATTATGCACCTTAGCATTAAAGAAGTTGACAGGAGGGCTTCTAAAATGTTGAAGCCCATAAGTTGATTTTAACTTATGGGAGAAGTTTGATTCATTTAACTTTATTACTTCCTTTTCCTATAAGTATTTGCTGGGAAATTTATCTAAACTATGTAAAAAAGGTTTAGCACAAGAGGGGGATTAATGGAAAGAGGCTTTTGTGTTGTAGAAACTTGAGGGAAAAATCTTATTGTGGAAATCATATTTTTTCTTCAAATGGGAGGCCATTAATCTCTTTCTTGAATTAAAGATGTGTCATAGTTCATGCAACATCTTCTCTTTCATTTTTCATTGAAATCACATGGTATTTCGTGGGTAAATACTGTTTTTCAAATGTTAACTTCATAAACATATGCTGTGCTGATACTTGATAACTTGAAAATTGGATACTTTGCTTATCCTTTTTATGTTTCTTTTGTATTAATTGTGTTCTATTGATGCATACTTCCTCAATAGTGGACTTCGGCGAGAAATTAGTTCTGCTGCAACTGGTCGTCCAATTCAAGATGTTATACAGACAGATGCAGCAATTAATCCTGGTAACAGTGGAGGGCCTCTCTTAGATAGTTCTGGAAACCTCATTGGGATAAATACGGCTATATATTCCCCATCTGGTGCATCCTCTGGTGTTGGATTTTCTATTCCAGTGGACACTGTGAGTTCTTACTTTGACCTGTTTTTAATTTATATCCAATTATCCTATACTTTCTTCAGGAGACAATTTTCCATGGAAACACCGCATACTTTTTCATACCCTCAAACTAAAATTGCTAATGTGGTTGTTATTTTACATATATTCAGGTAAGTGGTATTGTTGACCAATTGGTGAAGTTTGGGAAGGTTACAAGACCTATTTTAGGGATTAAGTTTGCTCCAGATCAGTCTGTTGAGCAGTTGGGTGTGAGTGGAGTGCTTGTCTTAGATGCTCCTCCCAATGGTCCAGCTGGGAAAGCTGTAAGTATGTTCTTATATATTATTTTTATGAAAGAGAAAAATGCTTAAGATGTAGAAATTCACTCATATATGGGACTCCATCTAAATGCACTAAATAGTGGCATAGATCTCATGTTTCAATAAATTTAGCCTCTTTACTTGCTACCACTAAAGCTAGTCACAAAAATTGTTCCTACCATAACATGTCCTGTGGTATATTATCTCATCTTATTAAAACTAATTGCTGTTACTCATTAGATTGCTTTATCTTTATTCACTTGATTACCATTTTTCAGTGGAGCTGGCCATTTTTTCTTTTGTAGGGCTTGCAACCAACAAAGCGTGACTCCTATGGTAGACTCATTTTAGGTGACATCATAACATCTGTGAATGATAAGAAGGTTACTAATGGAAGTGATTTGTACAGAATTCTTGACCAGTGTAAAGTGGGTGATAAGGTATGGCACCGATTCATATGCTCTATTGCTTGTGTCTCTTGTTAATTTGAAACTCATTAAAGTATAAGGCTTAGTCGAGTCATGATCAAATCAAATTAGTGTTTATGGCTTGACCTAGTCCCGTTCCATACATTATGCAGTCTTAATTGAATCAAATTTTAGGCCAGGACCAAGTCAAATCCATCCTATGAGCACCTATCTGTTTTCATAATCTGTTTTTAAGTTGACATGATTGTGTTAGATTTCATCTTAAAATCAATTGGTATTAAGTAAAGTTACTCAACAGATTTATAAATCCCACCCAGTGTATTGAAGCAATGCAAGACTTTCCAACAATGTGTCTAGGTTTCATTGTGTATGGTTTCAGAAGCAACTATTAGTTGCTTTTGACACAATTTGGCGTGAAAATTTAGTGAAATATGAATCAAAGAAACAACTATTAGTTGCTTTTGACACGATTTGGAGTGAGAATTTTGTGAAATATGGATCACTGATTAGAATCCAAACATACACTTTGTCTTTCTGATTTTGTTAGTAGGATTGCGTATCTATATATAAAACATCCCACTCCACCTTCACCCTCTTTGTGTTAAGTTGCATGAGAGACTCAACCCAATTTGAAGGTGCTTTATTATCCTTGATGATGTTGATATTCAGGTGATTGTGGAGGTGTTGAGAGGTGACCACAAGGAGAAAATCCCTGTGATTCTGGAGCCAAAGCCTGATGAATCATGATTATATGCAAGCAACTCACTCATCCATTCTATCCTGCATGTATATACATTTTCATTTTCATATGCCAGCCAGGGAATGAATGAATGCAGCTGTTTTGTTGTGTGTATTCTTATCTTTGGTTGTATCTTGTTTCATAAACAGGTCCAACTGTACATATGTACTATGGGACTGCCAGCTCATCATCCTTCAACTTTCTCACTATTAAACTAAATATAATTTGCCGCGTCTATTTGCCCCTATACAAATTCACAAAAGGGGTCATGATCATTGTTGTACAATTTTTTTAAAATATTTTCTGAAATAATTTTTTTTTCTTTCTTTTATCATTTTTTTCTTTTAGTGAAGGGTGTCAAAGAGAGCACAATTGAAAGTAATGATAGTAAAAATTGGAATAAGCTTTTTTATATTATGAATAAGCTTTTTTCTTAATGATTTAAAATTGGATAAACGTCTTTCCAAGCACTTCTGAAAAGAAGAAAGTAAGTAAAAAAAATGAAATAAATTTTTTTCATAAGATAAAGTTAGTTTATGAATCGGTTAAAAATAATTTTTTTAAATAAAATCCTAGAAGTAGTTAATAAATTTAATATAAGTTAATTTTATAAACAAGTTTATTAATGTTTTTTTAAAGTATTTATAGAAAAGTTTATCTAAAGTCGAAGCATAATTTAGTTCTAATTTCTATTTCTCATAAAAATTTGTTGGATGGGCTAATTGTGTGTTTGGATTAATGTTTAAAAGCTTTTCTATTAAAGTTTGTGAACTCCAAAGTAATACACGGAGAAGGTACTACTGTGAAATTGAAGCTAAACTAGGTTAAGTCATGTTGAATGTAATATTTTTTCCGAACACGCCCTAGATTGTGAAATAGACTCTTCATTTGGGAAGTGCGCATAGGGTTACATAACCAAATTTGTGGGAGAAAATTCAATTGTCACATTGTCTAAGAGTCCCTGTGCAAGATATTAATGATCTGAATGTGGGGACTTTTTTTGTATTTTTGTAAAAATTAGGTTATTAACATTCTTGTATATTGTTCTTTTTATTAAATAGCAAATAACTTTTATTAATTAAGTCAAACTGCACAAGGTGTAAAGTGACAAAAATATTTGCATATTTTCATATGGATACAAAACTAAAACTACAAAGTAAATACATGTAAAAATGTGAATGGACATAGGAAATAACTAGTGCAAAACACATTTTACAGATCTCAGTAAACTTATGTTGAACACAAATAACATTTCTTGAGATAATTTGCCAAAAAAAACAAGATATTTTTTCTTCTGTCATGCATTTCAAGAGACATAAATCCTCCCAACACACTCATGATATTTTTTTTCATCAAATCACTACCTCCTTCATCTCCTTTAACCAATCTCATCCAAATAAGTCAAGGAGTTCATAATCTAAAAATTCATTACATAATTTTTTTTCTTGCTTTTAGCCAACCTCATGCTTTAAAGTTTTCACTATCTCTTCGATATTTATTGACTGAATTTGCTTGCTATTAAAAAACATAATATTCCTGACTTTCCATAAAAACATTCTTGTAACTTTCCCTAAACAAGAAAATTCTTGTAACTAAGATTAAGCATAGCATATATGAATTTTAATGCATCCAGAGCATAAATATTAAGCGTAATTTCATTGACCCCATTCTATTGCTCTTGTTTCGTAGTTATTTTTATTTTTCTTTGTTACTCATAAGGGACTAAGTGCATGTATAAAATAGTGGAATATGTATAATTTCTTAAAGACAGGAAGATATTCGATGTATAGTTCCTCAATATCTGATCATTATCCACCAAAATATTCTAATACAAGTAATTATGCACTCAATAAATCTAAAATACTTGACATCTAATGCTTGTTTTTGCCACCTAAATCTCATGTGACATAATTGATCCTATCAACTTTTTCCCTCAAGTAACTTATGTAAAGGAACTATTCGGTTCTTATTCTACATATTTCTCGCACTAACTTTGAAACTGAAGTCTTTGTAGGTATCACTATCCAAGATTGGTCAAGACCCTTGGAGACACCATCAATACCACCATGAAGGCCAAAATATCTCTTTCAACTCTCATCTTGCAGCAAATACAAAATCTAAGATACCATTGATATTGTTTGGTTTGATTACATTAATGTAAAAACGATCTAAGAGTTTTGCAACTTGTTCCTAATAATATGTAAAGAAATTAGAGTGAATAATATGTCTGTGCTTTATATTTATAAGTTGTTATTTTTATTTTATTTTATAAGATGTGGAACTTATTTGTATCCTAACATCCAATGTTGCGGCTATGATACCAGAAATGAGGTTATTTTATGATATTTGTCTGAGGAAATATTTTATGAGGATTATTTTTATAACACTAGTGCAAATATTAGTTTTAAAATCGGGATTTTAAGATCGGTTAAAAGGTGACCGATCTTAAAAGTGACGCGGTGACAATTTTGTAAATAATGTGAAAACTTTTAAGATCGGTTAAAATTTAACCGATCTTAAAAGTACTGTAACTATTTAAAAAATGCAACGCTCTCCCTTAGTCATTCTTCCTCGTATGCGCCTCCCTTAGTCATATTTTAAGATGAATAAATATATTAAGCTAATTAATAATTTATTTACAATGTTAAAATTTAATTTATAAAAATAATATTTTAAAAGAGAAGGGTTATAATAACACCGGTGTAACTTTTACTAAGTATTACACCGCTCAATAACTTTATACTAAATGTAAATTTTATAAATTCAATCGTTAGATCGAAAGTTTTTTACTCTTAGCTCATATATATACAAAATTTTATATTAATTCAAGATGGTTTGATACTTCATTCTTATAAAAACAAAATTGACGTAATATATACATTTCAAAATATACTAAAATATGAACACTTTGATTACCTTCAAGTTATTGTTCAATTTTAACAAAATTTGATATAAATATATAAAGTGATATAAATATATAAAGTTACACTAGTGTTATTATAACCCTTATCATTTTAAAATATATAAATTATTATTTAAACTTTAAATTTATAATAAATAATTTAAATTGTATCATAATATTAATTTTAAATAGAAATAAGTAGATTGTTAATTATACAAGTAAGTATATATATATAAAGATTAATTAAATATAATATAATAATTATTATTGATAATATAATTTTTATATTTTTATATTGGTCTAGGCACACCAAAATGAGAGAGATCCAAAAATATAGTATAAGTATGAGATTGTATAGTTGAGGATGACTTAAATGAAATAATTTGTACTACTTATACTAACAACATGCATTTGTTTTTCGGTAGCTTATCTCATCAGAACTCTACAGTTAAGCGTGTTTGACTTGGAGTAATATATGGATAGGTGACTTTCTGGGAAGTTTCCCAGAAAATGTGCAGTAAGGACAATGAAGTGTCGTGAAATAACATCATTGAGAAGCCAAATATGAGAGTTATTACATTAATAAATTTATTAAAATTAAACCTGATACTTTTAAGATCGGTTATTTCGTAACCGATCTTAAAAGCTGGACTTAACTGATATTAAAAGTCTTTTTTTACCAGTGTAAGATTATTACACACAACTTCACAATGATGAGATATTGTCCGTTTTGGGCCTAAGCTCTCACGGTTTTGTTTTTGGTCATTACTAAAAAAACCTCTCTAATATTGAAGTATGTGTGCTTTATAAGTTGTTATTTTTTCTTTTATTTTATCGATACGAGACTTGTTTGTATCTCAAAATTAATTATGTTAAGTAATTTTTCTTAAAAAGTGCTCTATAAATTTTAATATTTGTAATAATCCTATCCTACTCCTACTCGAGTATAGGAATATTTTTTACGTACTCAAATATTTTATTCAATTTATCTACTTTGAGAATTTCTATCTCCAATAATAAACACTGACCTAAAGGGAGGTTAGTGTATTTCCTTTGATTAAACAAAGGTTTTACATTGTCCGTTAATGGATCTTATTAGAATTTGTAACCACACACCATAACTCACGTGACAACGAAATTTCAGTAGTGCCAAAATGAGTTGTCCTATAATGTTGATGTATAGGACCATATATTATATAGTGAGTGCTCTATCTGATGTGCACGTTTCTAAATGTCAACCTCCAACCTTTTTTCTACTTTTTTTATAATCAAATATGTATAGAACAATTTTAATAACCATCCTATTAGTTAGGAAATTGCTGATTGTTACGAATAAACATGAACACTACACATCGACAACGCTAGCTCGCTCATAATTTTGGTTAACTACAAACTTTTATTTCAATTTCTAATTTATAGTTGAGCCAATTATATAAATTAAAACACCCGTTTCATCAAAAAAAATTCTTACTAATGCTTGTTGTACAGTTGTACTGTGTAACATTTATTGATAAAATTATAATCAATTTCTCTCACATTATGTAAACGATTTATTTAACAAGAAATCATGTTTAATTTTTACATGTGCAAAAGCTTGTTGTATTATAATAAGATTAGTCTTTGACTTAATAGATCGAAGAAAAAAAATAGTCTTGCCTCTCTTTTTGTCACCCGCTATATAAGGATGGGTTGAATAATGAGAAAATTGTTTCAAGAAGATGGACAACTCTAAGTAGAATTTCCGACATGCATAGATCCAGTTCATAGTTTCATATAATATATATATATTTATAAAATATCATATGATGAAGGTAGATAGCTATGCTTCTTGATTGCAGACACACGACCTCTAAGCATGGCCCCTATAGCTTCCAATGCAGAATGGTGGCCACATCTTTAACCTAAAAAAGAAGAAAAATGCAGTGGTGAAAGACCATGCATTAAGTTCACTTTGCTTGAAGAACTTCAATTAATTATTAGGAAATAAACTTGGCACATTATTATTATTATCATCATAACAAGGGCAATTAACACATAGTACATTTTAGATAGGAGAATACTTAGGGAAGCAAGATGAGGTCATTCATAATGGTTGATGTTCATACGGAGAAAGAGGATGCAAGGCCAAAGTGAAGGCCCCAGAGCTCAAAAGATCCCTTAACAAAGTCATAGTATCCTCCTTTCAGTGCCAATGTGTTGTTCACCAACCCATCTCTAACAAATGGGTATGTTAGCAAGTTTCCAAGGGAAACATTCACAGCTTCCTGCACATACATAATCCAATTCAACTTGTTAGCATCACCACCATCATGCCTTTATTTTACTTCTAAATTAACTTTATTTTTTCTTGTTTAAGATGAAATAGAGAGTA